GCAGCTAGACGCGAAGCGAGCAAATTCATCAGGATCAGGACTGAGGGGCAAGCGTGTGACACTATCAAGTTGTTCTGGCTTCAGCTTGTCCATCTTGTCTTGAATGCGGATGGTGTCGGCCTCCGCCAGCGGCGTCCGCAGCGTGCAGAGCCTCCTGCCTCGCTCTCGCTCTCGTGGAAGACAAAGGCAAACCAGCATCGTCCTGTGGCACCGGTGATGCCGCTTGTCTCGGTGGCTCGACGATGTGGCCGATTGCAGAGTCAGGATCAATCAGAACAGACGCACGCTGGAGGGGGGAGGGCGATACCACCAAAGGCTGTTGCAACAGGGCTGGGGCTGTCGACGCTGACTGTGCCACCGCAGGCTCGACCGGTGCTGTCGCCGACCTCGTGGCTGATGACGATGATCCTGGCGTGGTCCTGGCAGCGGTTTCGTCACGAACATCGCGTCCCACAGGAGCTCCCGAAAAGCTCGAAGCGTGGTCTTGCATCGGTGTCGGACGCGTTGGTGGGGAAGAAGATGGGGCAGGTGGTGGCACGCTAGGAGCNTCGTCTTCTGAAGCATCCTTGCTTTCCCCCAACTACCCAGAGCTACGAAAATCACATCGATCATACATCACTTGCCTGTTACCGTGGCCTGACCTCCGTCGCCCTTNACATGTTGGCAAGTTTGAAAGCCAAAAAAGACCTGGTCGGTTGGCCTACATCAGCGGGAGGGCGTAGAGCAAGCGGTGAAGAACAGAGAGAATCGTCTTCTGAAGCATCCTTGCTTTCCCCCAACTACCCAGAGCTACGAAAATCACATCGATCATACATCACTTGCCTGTTACCGTGGCCTGACCTCCGTCGCCCTTTCCCACCGCGACTGCTGTCAGTGCTGGTCGCCTTGCTATGGCGCCCGCTCTGGTTCTGGCTCCGGCTACGGCTACGCCTAGACGGAGGCGTGTTTCTCCCACGACGGTCTCCGCTCCGGCTGCGCCCACGCCTAGACGAAGGATTGGTGCGCTGTTGTCGCTCTGCGCTCCGACTCCTGCTCCGGCGATGGCGACTCGCCGGCGAAGACCTCGTAGGCTGGTTCCCCACGGTTCGCCCTCGCCTGTTATCTCCGACGCCGCGCCCTCGCGAAGATTGGGTGGAGCGGCGGTGGTCGTCGGTCCTGCTCTTGGCCGTCGAATCCCGGTCGCCCCAACGGTTCTTCCAGCTCTTGGACACCGGAGCCGCCGACCGACTGAAATCCTTGTCCTCTCCAGAACCATGTGCAGGGCGTGAAGAGGCCTGCCGGGGGGCTTGTAGATCGTGCTTGAAGTCGTTGGTCGAAGCAACACGAGCAAGAGGCAGCTGGAGTCCTCCCTCCAGGGTCACCACCGACGTTCCTTGAGAACCTTCATGAAAGTTGGCACGACGGAGAGCGAACAACAGCTGGAACAGGGACTGCCGCGAAGAAGGCGGAATATCGCGAGGTACGGTGTGTGGTAGATGTGCCCGAAAGCAACGGTGTGCGGTGGGGGGAAATGTGCACGGACAAGTTGTTTGATGCCAGCCCATGCAGAAAGAGCTGCCAATTTATCCTCGTCGTGGAAGGTGACACCTTCTGCAGGCATCTTCAGCGGGCGGGACAGGAACGCTGTATCTTCAACGTGGAACTCGTACACCTTGGTTGCCGCCGCGAACGATGCTCCGTCTTCAGCACCAGCCGAAAGACCCAAAGTCACCGAAAACTCTGGAGTCGCTGTCCTCTTCCGCTCCTGCTCGTTCGTCGGAGACTCCGCCACCTCGCGCTCCTTCTCGTGCGGCGAGGCGGTACGATGGGAACCAAGGTGCACCTGGGATTGCGTGGGGGGGAGGACGATAACACGGCGACGGGGATGGGGGGCTGCTCGCGGGTCCTGGTGGCGGGGCTCCAGCTCCTTCATCGGAGCGCCCCCTGCTTCGCCCTAGCCGCTTGGAGATACGCCTCACGCTCCGCCACAACAGCCGCACGCTCCTCCTCGTGCTTCCTCGCCGCAGCAGCCAGAGCAGCCTCACGTTCCTCCTCCTGCTTTCTCGCCGCAGCAACCCGAACAGCCTCACGCTCCTCCTCCTGCTTCCTCGCCGCAGCGGCCAGANCAACAGCCGCACGCTCCTCCTCGTGCTTCCTCGCCGCAGCAGCCAGAGCAGCCTCACGTTCCTCCTCCTGCTTTCTCGCCGCAGCAACCCGAACAGCCTCACGCTCCTCCTCCTGCTTCCTCGCCGCAGCGGCCAGAGCAGCCTCCCGTTCCGCCAAGCGCTCCGCGTCCTCGCGCTTCGCCTGCTCTCGCGCCTCCGCCTCTGCTATCTTCCCGGCAAGACCGTCGCACCACATCTCGTTCAACCTTTGGTACGCCATAAACTCGTCGTGGGGCAAGAGGATTAATCTGTCTTCCGGCGGGAGCGAGAAAGGAGGAACGAAAAGGGGGGAATCGGACGACAGATGGGCCGCTTCTACGATATCCTCCAGAGAGACACGTCCGGTGTTGTAGGCCCGCTCCAGTTCCGCCGGATCTGCTGTGGCGATGTTGTCCAGCAAATCATCGACGGTGAACACCATGGACATGGGGGGGCTCTCGTCTTCTGCACCCGCCGCTGGAAACTGCTCTGCGGTGGGAGCCTCGCCCTCGGGTTTGTAGTCGAGGATTTCCACATTGTCGCCCAGGAGTGCCACTTTGCCGCTGGACATGGTGTCCTCTTTGTAAACAAGAACAGGGCCAGAGAGAGGGTAGCTACGATCGACTGTGGAAAGGGCAGCAGGGCCAGAAACAGTAGATGTAGGATAACCAACCGCAGTTGAGGCAGCAGCACCAAGAGCAGCAGAAGCAGTAACGCCGGGTGCAACTTCGGGAAGAGCAAGCCGAGGTCCATGCGAAAGGCGGAGATATCCACAAGAAGATAGCATACGCCCAGTGATAAAAGCTTCGTGCACACGAGGTTGAAGCGGATCCAACCAAGCAGAAAAAGCGTCCAAAAGCNTCAGTAAAGCCGGGTGCAACTTCGGGAAGAGCAAGCCGAGGCCCAGGCGAAAGGCGGAGATATCCACAAGATAGCATACGCCCAGTGATAAAAGCTTGGTGCACACGAGGTTGAAGCGGATCCAACCAAGCAGAAAAAGCGTCCAAAAGCACACCATGCCACGCACAAACAGCAGTAGAAGCTAGCACAAAAGGGCCCGTGTTGCATGGAGACACGAGGTTTTCCGACCAAAAGACACGCAGAGCAGCACGGCGTTCCTCCGCAACTGGTGCCGAAGTGCGAGCAAAGAGCGCTGTGGGTTTGCGCTGTTGAAAGGTTTCCAATTCAAATGCTTTGAGGGTGAACGATTCCCCGAAAAGTGCCATGTGGTTTCGAAAAATGGAGGGAAGGCTGGTGGGGCGACTGACACCCAATTTGTGAGCACACATCGCGTTCCAAGTCGATGCAAGCGGAGTCAAATCGGACAGCACAACAGGAAAATCCGCGGACATCGGCCGGTACGCCGGCATGAATGCAGTAGAGGTGGTAGCAGACGTGGGAAGCATGCTGTCATCTCGGGTCCCACTACACAAGGCCAGCAACTCAGGACGCTCCATGCAGAGGGTATCCGCCACAGAAATCACTTCATGGACCGCCGATGCAGACAAAATAGCTTTCGAGGGACGGCGAACGTACGAGAAATCACCCAAAACATCGCGATGGCCTCCGGGGCGCGTATCATTTGCAAGGTCCCAAGGGGCGGGCGCTTCGCAAAAGCATCACAAGCCAGCATCTCTACAGGAGAGGAAGCAGAGAAGAGGCTAAGTCTAGATTCTCGTGGGTGGTGAGACCAAATAACAAGCAACCCGGTGGCTGTGAAAAAAGCGTGGCAACAACACNATAGCTTTCGAGCGACGGCGAAAGTACGAGAAATCACCCAAAACATCGCGATGGCCTCCGGGGCGCGTATCATTTGCAAGGTCCCAAGGGGCGGGCGCTTCGCAAAAGCATCACAAGCCAGCATCTCTACAGGAGAGGAAGCAGAGAAGAGGCTAAGTCTAGATGCTCGTGGGTGGTGAGACCAAATAACTAGCAACTCGGTGGTTGTGAAAAAAGCGTAGCAACAACACACAGCAGTGTGGAAGCCGCGTCCAGCACCCGCTTACCGTGTAATGCCAGCTGACGCCAAGTTTCAAGGAGNTGAGATGAAGTTGGATCCCCACTTCATCCCAGACCTTTGCTGATCGTCTCTCAGCAATAACAAGCAACTTTCCCATCTCAACGTGGTCGTGGACAAGCGTGTCAACGACAGAACCTTCATCTATCTCTAGGAGGAGCAAGCCACCGCACACGGCATCATCACTCCTTGAAACTTGGCGTCAGCGGCAGGTTTGGGTATGCGAAGGTGTACCGATTCAGGTAAAAGTCAATCGACGGATACCCTGCGAATCGGGTCCTCCTTAACACTCTCCACCCACAGAAGTTACCCTCAACTGGGAACCTCTTGTGGCCAGGATGGGTAGTTCGATGGAAGTGTCACAAGGTTCCTTGTAGGATCGACTCCAAGAGGTGTTCTCAGGACTGACACACATTGTGTCCATGGGAACATGTCCAAGTCAGGAGAAAAAGTGTGCACCCAAGGAGATTCGAACCAGTATCCTATCGCTGACGCCATATGCGAATGTGTACCGATTCAGGTAAAAGTCAATCGACGAATACCACCCTGCGAACCGGGTCCTTCTTAACATATTAATGAAGAAGTCGTTGTCTCTACCACTCTTGGCTTGTTTCTTGGGGCATTCGTTATTATCATTGTTCGTCTGTAAACAGCAAATGACGTTTCGAAAGGATGCAGAGGAAAGATCAATNAATACCACCCTGCGAACCGGGTCCTTCTTAACATATTAATGAAGAAGTCGTTGTCTCTACCACTCTTGGCTTGTTTCTTGGGGCATTCGTTATTATCATTGTTCGTCTGTAAACAGCAAATGACGTTTCGAAAGGATGCAGAGGAAAGATCAATAACCAGAAACGGGTATACCCGGGTACTTTATCACCACTTTAGGGTACAGTT